CCGAGCAGGAGGAGGTCTATAAATACCCTGGAGTCAATGAATGCAAAGGCATACAACACAATGTTGTGGAATAGGGTAGTAAGCGCTATTCCAAATATTAAAGGAAATTTTAGAATTTACGATTTTGGACTACATATCAACAATAAATGTATCAAAGTTGACAGCAGGAAAATACGCTTAGAGTTAATCAACAAAGTTGCCACCCGTCCTACGAGTGAAAGAAAACTGTCAGAAATATTGAATATTGACCATACTAGTATTAATTTTTCAGATGTGTATAATTTGCCATTCACCACTACAATTGATAATAGAACAAGAAATTTTCGATTTAAACTAAATCATAATATTCTCTATACAAACAAAGATTTATATTCCACGAACTCTAGCCTGGTTACATCATCAAAATGCAGTTTCTTTGAAACGTATGATGAAACATTGATTCATCTATTCTGTGAGTGTATAGTTGTGAAGACTTTCTGGCAAACTATTTCGATGCGTTTCGCTCATCTGCCCGCCCTTAGTAATATGTCCAACCAAGATATTATTCTTGGGAACAAGGTTTTTTCAAAAATAACAAATCATATTATTCTTCTAGCTAAACGCCATATCTACTTTTCTAAAATGAGAAACGAAAAACCTTCTTTCCATGGTTGTCTATATCTCATTAGGCAAGTTTATAATTTTGAAAAGGTGATGGCGATAGGGGGAGGCAAATTAGCGAAGCACACTGAAAAATGGGAATCATTCAGTATGCTGTGACGCTGACATACCCCTTTACCCGTTGTCATATTTTTTGTAGAAATTTTACTCTTTTGTTGGGATAAATTTATGAAATTATATATGTGGTTAACGTAAATAATAATAATAATAAAAAAGGTATACAACACACCGCTATGACAAAAAAAGGTCAAGAAGGAATTCTACAGAAGTGAAGTGCTATACATCCCTCGAAAAGATGGGGGGAGGGGACTTATCCAACTTGAGCTTACGTATAAAACCACTACAATGGGGTTAAATAAATACCTCGATTCGAGTCAAGACTGGATGCTACAACTTGTAAATTGGTGATATTTGTATAACTTTATTCTGTTGATATTTGTATAACTTTATTCTGGTGATTTTTGTATGACTATTCTAGTGATAGTAAATCTACAGTTTTGGTGTGCACCAATGTTTAGGACCATGATAAAATAAAAAAAATCAGCAAGACGTTTTACATCTGTGGCTGGTATACACTGCATAAGGACAGAGAGATACGTGTAGATTTACATGAATAAATGCAAGGTCTTATGACCAGAGTGGTAGTATCAATCGTTGGCCATATTTGGGTTAACATCATATATTTTGGATGGCAAAAATATTACCACAACATTGAACGAAACCCTACCGGTCACAAACAAAAACAATGGAGGCTAACTCACATGTATAACCAAAAGGGAGCTTGAAAATCAGCCCAATATAGATTATCTATTTGAATTTGCAGATATTATATTCACATTTGTCTGTTGACATTGGTTTATTCAAATTTTTCTTAACTGTTTTTCATTATGTAGTCGTGGAAATTTGATTTATTCTTCTCCCCACTTTATTTTAAATGGTGGCACTCCTAAGCGAAATTGTCTGTTCTCCCATCACATTCCATCATTTATGTCATAGTAATTACAATAGGGTTTTCAGATTAAATCATGTGCATCATGACACATGTTCGTCTGTGAATATGTGGTTATACAACGATTTCTTTGTTGTGCACTAGAAGATTTCAGCCAAACTTGGTATAAACATCACACATGGCATATTTCCTTCCACGATTATATAACACAATGATCTATATCTATCTAAATGTTTGAATAGAATTTAATGTGTCACTGACACATTGATTAAAGTTTCTATTGTTCATGACTATGATAGTGATGGTAAGTTAGTAATTCATGATGGGGAAAAGCCGTTATATACTACACATGCAAATAAACTAAAACCAAGGAGTGTTCCTATTATTACCACACCCACACCAACCAGTTAAAATGTCCTTAACCTTTTGATCATACCTGGGATGTCCCTCTATTTTTCCTGATTACCAGACACTGGTAGCTTTTCTATAGAACTTGCATGTTGGTATATCAAACGAGATACAACTTGCTAAAAACCTAATCATTATTTCTTTGAGGAATGTTCTAGTGTTCACTGCGTCAACAACACACTCCATTCATCAGTATTACCCGGTAGCTGAGGTGTTTTGAGAGACTGGAGACAAAGACCTAAAGGGAGGAAGTTTCTTGGCTAACATACTTGCTGTGAAGATATTCCGTAATGTTCCAGGTTAGTGATGTAATCTACACTGGTATGACATCGTCCCCGCTGTGAGGATGCTCTAGATTCCAGAAACCCAATGAACTCTATGCTATTTTAATGTTGTATTTGCAAAGATGCCAATAACTGTACCAATATTGGGAATAGATGGACAACCAATGGTTATTGATACAAAACTGTGTAAGTAGATTGGATC